TGGGCTCCAAGCTGATAGTAACTGTGACAGTGCCAACTTCTTGGACGGATTCGAAATCATTTTGGTAAAATCTAAAGTTTTTCATTTTCCAAAGCTGTTCATTCATTAGATTTGTGTTGATTCCTTTTTTTGCATGGCAGAGCAATGGTCGAAAGTGTTTGCAATCTCATGGCCATATGACCGCCTCCAGCATGATCAAGCGGTCAACTTCGTACTTTTTTGGGAGCTTCAGTGCAGTGTGGTCCACGATTTGTTCCATTATTGACATCTTACAACATCTTTGTGGTCAGACTACTTCTTCATCCCCGTTTATGAAATGACCTCGCTTCCGATACTTTATGCGGGTATTGCTTGGAGTAGTTCACTGTTGAGTCGCATTTTGCTCATGCTTGAGTCTAACAGGTGATTCTGTCCTCCTGTTCTTCCCATCAGCGTGATTTATATGCCTAGAATAGCTATCCTGGTCATCTCTGCTTATGAAAATGTATGAGTTTGCGGGCTACTTTCTCTACCGCTTCTGTTCAAATGTATTTTGAAGCGCCCTTTTTAAAGCGCAACTTTACGGTGTTTCGCATAGGGAGCATTTTACTGCCCGCTGCACATTTCGGCGCCAGGTGTTTCGGAGCAGACATAGAATACAACAATATTTTTGGATTAGGTGAGTGACAGCAGTTTGCGGGTTTGTACGCCGTTGTTATTTTTATACAGGCAAATCTAGCAGGTGTAATGTTCGTTATCGATCGCGCGACGAAACCATCAGGGAGAACTTTCGGCAATACGGACTGGAAGATAAGTACGTGGATATGATGATCGCGGACACCAGCAGACCGGGTTTGATTCGCTCTAATATGCTCTTCGACTGTATTGTTACTGACCGTAAGTTTTCACTACTTGTTCTCTTGATATTATTTTAGTTATGGCGCTGATGTTAATGGCCTTTAAATTCATTGAAGATTAGATTTCATTATATACGGCCCCTCCTTTTTTCATGTCTAGATGAAAAGAGACAATTTAAGGAGGTCACGACTTTGTGGGAGCTTAGCACTGGCTTTGCAGAGACAAATTTTACTTCGTTTTGTTGTCTGAAGCAATATGTTGGTGATCACCACTGATAGTTAGGGTTTTATTTTAGTGGATAGTCTTTGTGTGATTTCGCGAACCATCCTCAAGATAGCTTAAATATGACATGCAACAATATACAAATGCGCCAGATGTTTCGAAAATATGTTTTTTTTCTTCATATTTTCTATAAGTCATGAATATTTTGGACGTCTGCAATATCATTTGGGACGAGCAGGTTTTCGGCTTTTGGCAGTAAAATGACATGAGATGCATACATTAGCTGCATCTAATATATTTCAAAATCATCGCCTTCTGGAATGAGCCTTTTGTTATCTAGGAGCGAGAAGTCAGTTCCGTACACCGCAAAACTTAAGCATGCACTTATTCGTAAGGAGCATGCGTTTATTAGCAACTTCTAGCGTAAAAATCCATATTTTTATTCGTGTTATTATCACTCGTCATTATCTTAGGCTAAGCAAAATTTTAATAGTTGAACTGCCTGTCAGAACTCCTTGATTTCATCCAAATGGAGTCTGCGATGTCTATGTTTAGAATTGTCCATTGGCATATCATCGACAGGTAGAATTTTTTTTGTAACGAAGGTTTTACAAGTGAATTTCCTTTTGTCTTTTGTGCAGCTGTTTCTTACCTAACCAACATCTATCCACGAGTTTTTCTGTTTTCTGAACTTTTCTTTATCGTTCGGCAGAATGTCGGTGTGCCGTCTGATCAGGAAATCTGAGTGGCTAGTTGATGTTTCCGTTCGGGCGACAGGCGTATCGTTTTAGCTGATTCTCGCCGTCGCGATGAACGACATGCTTCTAGTTATAATTCACTTTTCGAGAAGCATGGTAGATGACTCATCTCACGCAATTAACGGACTGCTTCCATTCCGTCACTCTTCCTGTCAGCTGTCGACATACCTATGGACGAATTGCTTTGTACTCTCGAGTTTTGCACATATTTCGGTTTAACGCATCTTGCCCTCCTATTTGTCCGGTTCATTTCGCTTTCACACTAGTCCTCAGAAAGAGTGCATGTTTTGTGTAATAGAAGAAGGCATCATTTGACTGACTGTGCTGTACTGTTTGCTTGTCAGCATCCTGGTTATCATCATCATCTCATCGAACGACCGTTACCACCATCATAATTGTGACATGATCATTACCGCCATTATCGCCATCATCATCATCATCGTTTTCGTCCCATCTTCATCATTTTCATTATTGTTGTCATAATCACCGGCTTCTTCATTTCTGTGTATGCATGTAATGTAGTTTTATGTCAAGAGACAAACAGATTTGTCAAACAAGAGCGATAAATTTGTTCCGCTGAAAAATGGTCAGCCACTGGAACTTTGGGGGGGGGATTGAAAAGTGGGCAACTGATTAATATGGTCGCCGCATGGACAAAACTTCACCGATCACTAGTTTTCGAAGCTTGCTTTCTGAATTTCGACTGTACAACTAGAAATTTCCGACATTAGCTATAGATAAATGTACCTGTTAAGTTTACTGTGTTCGACTGTTTTTCCTCCGTTTATTCGAAAGCTCTTACACTGCTCGATAATTTTCATGAAACATTAATTTCAAGCTCTGCTTATTCATTCGCCTGTAGGCAGAATGATTGACAGCATCCTTAGTCTTTCAAGATTATCCGCATGAAAGGTTGATTTCTGTTAAAAAAAGGCTACGGTAATTTCGATTGTTCGGTGGATTTCGTTGCTCGATACGGAATGTTTACTGGATATTTCGAACGCTTTGTTTCAGTGGGGGAGCGAAATGCCATTGCTTTTAAATGTGCAGTTTCCCTTTTCTTTTTCATTCACTACATTCATTGTGGCTTTGCGAAATATCCAGGGCAATCTTACATTCTTGCCAAGATATTACTAGTTAGCAGCATATTTCATTTGTTATTTCAAAGTTGTTAAAGAGAGAACAAGTTGCATTGCATAGGATCTTGAATGAACGTTTTTGAAAGTTTACGGCTTGGTTAAAACCACCGAGCAATCCTGTTATTCGGCACAGATAAAAAATGCACCAAAATAAAATTGTAAAAAATGTTTTACCGACGGACAACGCTTTAAATGAAGTTGCCATAGTTAACGTGATGGCGGTAGTCTGTTATGTATAGGAAATAATCTGTTTAGCGCTGTGATGTTGGAGGCGTTTTGGAATTATATGCTGGATTCGTTACGGAATACTTGCGTGATCTTTAGGATAGCAAGCATCGATGTTGGAAATTAAAAATGCAGACATGCCAGCGAGATGAGGAGTATTTTTTGATCAACATCCGTCAGTGAACATCAGCAGTGTACATGAGTAGATGGCTTTTTTCTCATGTCCAGAGACATCTGTTCTCTTTAGCATTTCAACCATGCAAATCTTTAACTGAAATCGATTACCTAAGGCAAGCATCCAGTTTGCTCGATCTTCGAATAATTTAAATTGCATTCATTAGGCATGGCATATTCGTTGAGCGTGACCTTAGTTTGCTCTGTATGTTTGCCGTTAGATATCTCAGTTGTGGTCGACGTGTAAATATAATGTAATAGTTAATTAAGTTACTAGCTTATGCTACTTTCATAATGGCTTTTATCTGCTCCGTATTTGGCTTGTTTCTCTGCATAAACGTGGTTTCGCATTTTTCTCTTTTCTATTTTTAGCGCCTTATGGGTTGCGCGAGAAGGGAGTTAAAGTTGGTTCTAACAAAGGCCCAAACGGAAACTTGAACAGGTGGGTTATTTCATACCTGGTCTGCAACAGGCATCCGGTGTGAGCCGGTTTTGCGCACGCTTCCGATTGTTCAGTTGGTTTCATATTCGTTGGCTCTTGCTGTCTCGGTTAAGTTTTGATTGTTTCACTATAAATTTTGTACAGAGTTATTTTTGGTAGTTTTTTGAGTTTAAGACATTGTTTACGGTATCTGTTCATTTACGTTTGAAAAGTTTTTTGCCCTTGCAGTTAATGACAGATTAAATCGTTTTATTGTCATTCATGAAACTTACGAAACTAAATCCCTTCTGATTCACCAGACCTGAGTAATGCCGCTTGGCTTTGATCATTGTAGCGATCGGCAGCTCTTTCTTTTAAACCATATTGATTGGTTTTAGACTGAGTATCCCTTGCTAAAACGTGACCAGATTGCAACCTTGCGGGTGCAACGTAAAAACAAACTTCCATTTAATTAAACAGTGGGTTCAAGTGAATAAGTTTATTGGCAAGTATTGAGGCGTACCAGTAGTCAGAGAATATTGCGTTCAGTGGATTTCTTCCTTGCTGTTTATCTTGCTTTGTGTTTGCTGGGATGTAATAGTTTCCAAAGTCTTCCTTTTGTTCCAGTTTGTATCTTGTAAGTTGGTCACAGGAAAAGCCGACTGAACATATAAATTTTGGAAACTGAGACTTCAGAACGCACTTGCTGCAAAATAAAGAAACAAGGAGATTAGTTCAGCATGGTTGCAGCTGTTCTTGACATTCGTGACTGATCTTTTTTCGTAATTAACGGAGCACCATTGCCTAGTCGTGACTCCCACGCTCATTTGTCTCGTGTGATTTTTTTTCACATGCTTCCATATCTCTTTTCTCTCATCATCTTATCTTAGTCGATGTATTCCAATTAGGCGCCGCACCCCCCTTGGGTGCATATCCATCGCTGCTGAAGCCTATCGTTCATCCGTCACTTGTTCAATGTGATCTGCTCATTGCCGTTTGTTTTCTTTTGAAACTGATACATTGCCCTTCATCTCCTGCGTGTCATCTTATTTCTTCATTTCGCAGCTTGTCCCTGATGCAAATCCCTAGCACCCTTCTTTCCACACCCGGCTGCTGCACTTTTAACACTGCTTCATCATTTCTTGTTAATGCCTAGGCCTCGCAACCATACAGAACTGTTGACATAAGCATGCCAGCATATGTTGTGGCTCTAACCGCAAATGATGATGTAAATGTTTGTTCTGTATTTATTCCACGCCTCTCGACGTCTTCCAACAAATTCTGAACAAATGAAGTGGTCTTCGACGATTTGCTGTCATACAAAGTAACTTCTTCTACGTGATAATCATTTATGGTCGTTGTAACCGATTGTACGAATTAGTTTCTCGTCATTTTAGTCTTCACCATCCTGTTAATCCGAAGATCAATTTGCTTGCACTTAAGCTGTTGTTCACAGTGCGTGACTAACTTCTTTTGTCTTCATTCCCAACAGCAGGATGTAGTCAGCAAACCGAAAGTTAATGAGCCGTCTGCTGTTGATTGTTAATCTTCTGTTTCATTTTATCTTGCGGAACACTGACTCAAGCCATGCGATAAACAACTTGTTTGATACGGTCTTTATTGTGCTTGACTTCATTGGAAACAGTTTAATCTAATCTTCAGCAGCTGAGTCTTCGTTCTGCGGCTTCAGTACAATTCTTAAAGAATTTCAGTGTGTTCTTTTTCATTTTCTTGTTGTTCGAACTCACTGAAGAATGCTTGAGACTTCAACAATGTAGAGTGCCTTTTCATAGGCCACGAAAATCGTATAGGCAAACACACTGCTCGTTACAGTTTTGGTGGAGCTTTTCAAGACTTCGAGGTGGTCTAGTGTAGCTTTGTTCTTCTGTAGACCAACAACATTGTTCACGTTTGAGGCAAAAAGATTGTTTTGGAAACGTTCTTAACCTTCCCCCTAATTGTTATGTGTTACTTTTTCTTCAAAGGCATTTCAAACGCTGGTAATGTATTGACATCAAGGTAGAGATCTACATGTTTTTGTACTTCTTACTTCGACCGTTTGCCACAGTCATAGTAGTCTTTTGTATCGTTCGAGATGTTTCGCTTTCAGTCGCTATGCCATAATACCTGCTTATAAATCCGATTCTTTCTGAATTGCTAGATTCACTGTATTTTTGCACTTTGTAATTCATGCTTCGATGTAATTTACGCGCAGTCGCCAACTCCATGCAACTTTAATGATATGAAATTTCTTCCCAACCAACCACGTCTTTGCTATCGATTATGGTTTCGCCGTCTGTACCACAACGGGGTAACCAGATCGTTTTGTCCACCGTGAGATCGAAAGGTTGTTGTGGAACCTGCTCGTAGATCAACAGTGATTACTCTCTCTTTGATTCCATACTAAACTGTTTGAACAGTAAAGGACACCAATATCCATCTAAATGTAATGAACGTTAATGAACTTGCATTTAAGTCAGTGCTTAAATCTGCTGCATATTTTCAGTCAAAAACAGGCATCCTACTTTTAAAATCCCTAGTTTTTCTGTAACTTTTGTTAAATCTGCTGTTTGCCTGTTTTCCGAGACTATGAGCGCAGAGTAGCTGCTTCGATATTACCGTACTAATCCCACCATTGACAAAATGAACGGTGAAAATGTCGTGATGGTCGGTACTGGCTGCATGAGAAAAGCAGGGCAAACGAAATCGCTGAAACGACAAAGCAGCTAAATGTCATTTACATCATAATCGGTTATAGTTGTAAAATTCCTAAAGACCCAAGATGGTGGTTGAAACATTCAGTTGGCGTACAGTCGCTATGCATAATCCGAACAACACAAATCCAAACAAATGTTGCATTCATTTGTTGTGTTTACATCTATCCAGTTTTCCTTCGACGTGGATGCCCCATTCCAGCCAATCAGTCTACCTATATATAGTGCATGTCTGTTTGTCGGTTATTTATGTATTCATCAACTAATATACCCGTGGACTGTTGGAATATGAGGGATTCGTACAGAAAGTGTTTTTTGAATCGGTATGCCCGTAGGCTATCTGAGGGTGTTTGTTTCGGTGCATTGGTATATGTGGAACGGATTTGTGTATGTGCTCTGTAAAGCTTCGTCGCCGGAATTTCGCACGTTAGGTCGCTCTGGGTGTATTCGGATGTGTGCTTCAGGTGTGTTACGCTTGAAATAAGGGTATTTGGGGTCTGTTTGAAGTGTGCTCCTAATGGCTATGTGAAATTGTAGGATAGGCCATTTGGTACCCTGTATCCGCGTGTCTTTCAGATATTTATGTTATTGATTCGCCACTGATGTATGTATATATGTGTCTGATATGTCAGTGTGTGTCGAGTGTATCCTGCTAATTTCAGACCGGTATACGATTAGTCCGTTTGTATAATATAGTTAAACCGACCTGATGGACGGTTCCATGCTTTTCACTTGTCTTGTAAGACTGTTTTATGTCTTCAGTCGATGTGTCATTTATGTCTGATGCAGCACTGTTGTTGACATAGTTGAATGAGCGAATAACGTTGATTTTGCGGATGAGCGCTGTTGTTCACACATGTTGCCTTCCATCTTTTCTTTAAGATGGTATGTTAATTAATCACAGCATGGTCCATAATGCTTTTTCTTGCATTCCACCTTTACAACTTTAAAGTCTTTCGTTGGCTTCCTTTCCTTGTCTCTCGCCGGAAACTGTGAAGGTACGCGTACACGCTACTTGGGTAACCCAGCGGTTCATTCATTATCTGCGTTATGATCGTCTAGTGATTGTGTAGCAGCGACTGTTAATATGACCTTTCAGAATGGCGGAAGCCCATTTCCCGATGAAGGTTCGCTATCGGCTGAAGGACGTGTTCCTTGATCTGCTGAATTTTGCTGCAGAGCATCTGGTGGTTAATGGTCGCTTGGTATACTGGCTTCCGTTCGATGCTTCCGAGTGAGCGCGCATATTTCAGCGTCTTTCTAATTGTACTTTCATTGCGTTTATTCGTTTCAGTTTCGACGAAATGTTTATCCCTCGGCATCCCTGTTTGGAAACCGTTGCCACATGTGAGCAGTTGCTGAGCAACTCGTACGGCAGATTGTTGGTGGCAATGGAGAAACGGCGACAGTCGGAGACATCAGAAAAGGCATATTTCATACGCGATTTTTATTCCAGTTTTCGTGATCGCGTTCTAAAATGCCGTGTTAAGTAAAGTTTTATCATTCAGGTCATTTGTCCTTGGCCTACGTTACACAAGACATGGTAACTACGGCTTAACAGTTTTGGCCATCCTTCCCTCAAGTAGTAGGCCAACTTGATCGCCTTCTTTGCTATTCCTCACTGATTAACCTCTGCCCTGCAGGTCAAGTTTGTACCTTTCGCTCCCTATTTATGTCCATTGTGGACTTTCTTTGTCTACTCGGGCTGATCGAATCGAGGAAGTAGAAAAAGCACATTCTTCTACGCCTTATCTGAGCACGGCGTGTCTTGTATTCACACATTCAAATTAATACATGTGCTTATTTTTGCACAGTAGACAAATACTGTTTAATGAGCAGTAGATTCTGCCCCATATCTAAGCGGAACATTTACCTCTCCTTTCAGGGAGCTGCTATGCCAAACTATTTATGAGGTTAAGTCGAACGTCTGTAATGTGTCACGTCTCTTTTCATCTTTCATCTACTACAGATTATCGAATTTACGCAGCAAATACTGCAGATATGTTCTTTACAGCATTATTGCGGTAATTTAAGAAATATAGTATTCATTAAAGATCGTACTGCAGCTTTTGTAACCACAGATCGAAAGAATTAACGGCGAGTTAGAGGTTAACGGTTGTTTTGCTAGTTTACATGGGTGCCATTCGAAAACTCTTTCTCCCCCTGTGCTTTGTAAGAGAAGGGTTCGCTGCATTCACATGTATAGAGCTTGATGTTTCAGTGAGGGCTACGAGTCGTCCGAGAGGCCTGTGGAGTTTAGAGGGTCCATCTTTTGCGGTTTTTCTCCATTTTATTCATCATGGCTTATGACACTTACAGAGTAGAATGCAGACAAATAAATATAAACTATGTACAGCAGCTAAAAGTGACAGTAACATCAACATCTTTTCGAGAACGGCCCGAGATAAACGTACAGAATATTTGTTGATGTTGCTCGTCTGTCATCTGTCATGATTAACAACCTCTATTTTTGTTACATATTCAGTATGATTACTAACACGTGAGAGCAACATATGATTGCGTATGAAATGACAAGTTTCTCTAGTATGAAGGAATATCTTGCGAATTGATTTGGAACTGTTCTACCAAAGGAACTGTTAATCTTTGACTCAGAGTTTGAGGATGGATTGGAAAAGTCAGCATATAAAGTGGAAGATCTATTCAACCTGTCAGGCTGCAAAAACGCCGATGTGTATTTCTAGTTGAAATAATGGGGAAGTTATGAAGGACGTAAACTGGATTTCATGATTTTCAGTCATGCAGATATTGGAGATCGAGGCCGAAACTGTACAAGTGTCGAAGACTCTCCTTGCAACGTTGTTGTGTCATTCGTTGCATTTTGAGTGCATGAGCGTTTCCCAGTCGGAATATATGTTCGTTTTTTTCTGTCTTCACTAGAGACTCATATAATTTGCTTCTGGCTGTCTGCGGGATCTTCGCTTTGTACGAGTTTATGCTCAGTGCTTATTCTTAGGTGACTGTTGGAAGAACCTGTTTCGTCCATGGAGTCCGCTCATTGATTGCCAGTTAATCTTACTGACATCTCTATTTTCACCGAGTTTTCGAAGGTGCTGTCCATGAAGCTGTTTATTTTTCCCACCATTGTATCTGGAGTTTTTCACATTTTCTTGATGATCTCCTTAATTCCCAAGTGTTTTCTGTTTTGAACGTTAAAAGGGCCTTTATTCTACACATATCGGAATTACTCACACGAACCAGGCGTCGATAGGGCATGCCAGCTCCGTCAACCAAAATCAAAGTTTCTGTTCTAGTTTCCAGAGACCGTTTCCTTTACAACGTCAGCGTCTTATTGTTCATTGTCCGTTCCAGCGACTTTGATACTATAAACCATGTTCTTCCTACTTTACGCCGGACATACAGAGCAATCTCTTCGTATCTACTCTCAAATATACCATCCCATACATGTTAAAATTTTTCGTATCCAGTTTTATTCTTTCCGCCGGCGTTCACTCGACAGTGCCTACAGTGTAGGTTAGCGCTGGTACAGCGTACTGGTTAATGGCGAAAATTTTGTTCTTCCGGTATAACTTCCTCCTCAGAATTTGGTGGGTTCTTTCAGCATATTCCGATTTGATTGATTCTTTCATTTACTCGTGTGACATTGTCACGTTTTAGGATGCCGAGCTATCTGAATGACTGACCTTCTTTCACGCTGTTTATTTATCAGTTGGCAGCTTCACTCCGTTGATTTTCCATATTATATCTTGCTTTCGATTATAGCGCGTCTATCCAAATCAAATTCCATCTTGATATCTTCCTAAAAGATTCATTCTCTCTGGATCAGACTATTCAGCTCTTTCGTCGATCTCGCATACCGATGAAGTCAGGTTTATTACTATGGTAGGCAGAAAAACTACCGACCTTTCTGCAGTTTTGCAGAAGGTGAAGCACAAAATAATGAGATGCGATAAACAAAAGCGAAATCTTACAGTAAGAACATTCATGACAAGTTCGACTCGACTAGGCTGCTGAAAATCTGGATCCGTAACGGTTCGGATCAGGTAAAGCAAAGCAGCGCTTACAAATTTCAGTTATGTCATAAATAGAGTTGAACTCGTTAAGTGTCGCCTTCACATTTGATTTACAGCTGACTAGAACATCACGCAAGTTATGGTTCAGATCGTTGAGAATTTTCTTAGAGAAGGCCACTGTGGCGTCACAAGCGTCATTACCGCCGCGATCCGTTGATCCGATAGACTTGCTGCTTTGGCAGAACCTCACCCAGCGACGTAGAATACCGTATTCGTTCACCAACAATGCTCCAAAGACCACAGGTACCGCATATGTTGCTACAATGCTTCAGACGAGTGCCAGAACTGTCATCAAACAGGCACACGTGATTGCCGCCATCTTTGCGCGTAGTAGAATACCTTCTGCAATTTTGATGCGGCATGATGAACATGATCTGACCAGGAAAAGGGAACACTTAGATGTATTCCAACGTTGAGGAATAACTTCTTCCAGATGTAACCATCAGCCGTGCAGGGGCGCCGATATCACGTCTGCTACATCTTCAGGTCACTCATGTGCAGTAGATGCGATAGTACGCCGCTGTACTGAACTTATATCCTTTTTTGGCGCTACTCAGCAAGTGACTGAACGGATTCAGTGCCAGATAAGTTAGAAGCGGTGAGATTGAATCTTCCTGGAAAATTCTTCGCTTGATCTTCACCAACCGCAGGGAGCCGTTGTTACATATCATTACTGTTCGCCGCTGTTTCATCGCTCCCTCAAAGCAGCTTATTAGGCGCTGTTGATGTTCTAATGTTTCAGACATTTCAGTCATTCATTCGTTGATCAAAAACGATGATGGCACTCAGACTTAAGTTTCGCTCACTTTTTGTCATGACGTTCGTCTAGACATGTCGGCGTTTACCAGAACTGATCTTGCGTGGAACTTAAACAGCTCTAGAGTTGCTAGATGGAGATGTTTCGATGATACGCTTTTCAAACAACTATGAAGAGTTCTGCTCTTGCAGCACACGGAATGAGGCCAGAAAAACGTGATTAAGCAAAGCTGACATTGACGATATGCAGTGTAGTTCCACCACATCCACCCAGCGGATTGAACCGGTAGGTGAATATCTGTTTTTCATAGTGCTATTGCTTAATTCAAGTCTTCTAAGATTCACTGATTTGTTCGTGCGTTGTTGTTCATACTGCAACTAAACAATGTATAAAAGCGGTTTATTTGTACACAGTGCAGCTATTTCTTTGCTTTGTATATAAATAAGTCGTTTTTTTACATTTTTCAGTTTATAATTCAAGTCTCTGATTTCATAATTGTGAAGCAGAAAATTTTTGTTGCAGTTCGTAATCTGTCTTAATTAATAGTTGGTCAATAGTTAATTCTAATTTAATAGTTACCAATCAACAGTTGCATAACTTTGTTGAAGTCGCAATTGGCTTCGAATTGGTTATTCTTCGCTAGCCATGTAAAATTGTGATTAGGTTTAACATGACGCTCGTACAGTGTTTATCGTTCACTTCTCATACATGGCGTTATTCTAAAATCATCGAACTCACATTTCTTGCGATATTTCAGTGCGTACGTTTATTTGATGGTGAACTGGTTTTGATGCATAACATTCTTCCGTCTTCGTGAAGTTTATCAGAAAAGCGTAGCCGAGAAAACGTCAGGAGAATATTGTCATTGTAGAAAGGATGAAATAGTGTTCGGTCAGATCGTCATTTATTTGGGTCAACGTTTGAGCATCAAACTATCGCGATTTATAATGTCTGATTTATTGAAATGTCTCCTTAGACTGAAACCAGCTGGTGATCGCTGCTGTGGAAGTGGTAATATTCCTGATCACCAACAGGTCTGAACATACAGACGCGTTGATAATTTGTATGGCCTTCTAACACATCCCTCCCAAAAAATCCCAATTCAGGCACCTCGTCGTGGTGTGGAAGTGACAACTGTCAGATCGCCGAAGCACGGCGGGACACCTGCAATGGCAGCTCCTAGCAAGCCAAGATGACGCAGCACTGCATCTCTAGCCGGCTAAGCATGGGCGATACCACTGACAACCTGGACCAGCGAGTGGTGAATTAACAGGTCCAGCAGTCATGAACAGAAGAAGAAAAGAATATGGGACTCAACGCGACCTGGAGGGATGGCAATACGGTTCTTTTGAGCAAAGAGAAAGACAGAAGAACATGGTGGTCTCTACGAATCCTTTCCTGCCTCTTTAGTTCATCGCGAGTCGGTGTACTCCTACGGCTGGATTCAAACAATTCTCTCAAAATCGTTCAGGTCCATGCCCCCACTACGGCCAGCGATGACGATGAGGTTGAAAGATTTTATGCGGAACTCGAATAAACTCTCACCATCAAGTCTACCTATACGGTAGTGATGGATGACTTCAACGCAAAATTTAGTCGAGGAAGGAAAGCCGCAGAGAAGCACATTCGCAGGTTTGGCATAGGAGAACGAAACAACAGGGGTGATAGAATGGCAGAGGCCAAC